TGATTCTAAAATGAACACAGTAAATATCAGCCCATGATTCTAAAGAAAAATACGGAGTAATAAATATCCCTCTCTTTAACAAAAAAATGACTCTCCAATTAAAGTACATTAACAAGCCCTCAAATGTACTTTATCTTATCCACAGGAAACACAAGAAATTGTCCTGATTTGGGATATAGCCTTAATCTTAGGGAAGTTAAGGTTTTGAAATTAAAATAGAATGTGCATAACCTGATAGTATTTTTTATATGCCAATTTTTTCATGAACTTTTATGATAATTTGTTATGATCCCCATTCTCTCATGGAGCTGAGGGCTCACTCACATGGGTGGGTCCTGTGGTCAGAGGCTTCTCAAATATAACTCAAATATATAACTATTTCATCATGGTGGAGTTTATATTTGGACAAATATGTTTTTGTTACATGCACAGAAGCATTCAGCATCCCTAATCCTGAAGATGGTGTTCGCGATTAAACGGTTAAGCAACTTACAGTGAATCTGCTGTATCTTTTTTTGTTGTTGTTTGATGGAATAAATTTATTTTTATTTCTATATAGTTGATATACGATACAACATTGCTTCTAGATGTATAGCAGTGATTGGACAGTCGTATACATTATGTAATGCTTTTTGACAGGTCATTTTCTATCAGTGTTATACCATCTCAGGGAAAGCTCTGAGGTTGAGTTTACTTTTTGCTGTTTTTATTTGTAGTGCTTGGTTAAAACTCCCTAAATACATCTCTAGTTGAACACATTTGTGAAGGGTTCATCTCTCATCAGTTCCAATCCTCTTATGCACAGTTGAGAAATTTAAGACTAAGGCCCAGACTGAAACCTTATATTTGACTTCTTATGCCAGCTTGGGCATTTTTAAGTCTATCCTCTCTTACGCGGAATTGCAATTCTGCTCACTGAAGGCTACTCAGAGGGTTCATTTCTCCTGGCAGGTCAAAATATGATTCACTTGAGGGAAATGAAAAGAGAGAGAGAGAAAGAGAGAGAGAGAGAGAGAGAGAGGAAAAGGAATAGAAAATACTTTACAAACACCTGTGTTGCTTGCTCATCTGTTAAAGTATATTAATTCAAATGACCTTATAGGGTTGCTGTAAGAAAGAAAATGATAACTGTAAAGTGCTCAGACAAGGTTTTAGTGGATCATTATCATTGCTTGTTGACCTTTGAAAAGTGCTGCTCCACTGATCACACCCAGAACCAGTAAAATCTACACTTAACTCCTTTGGGTATATACACACACACACAAGGCCTAGCAGAGAACCACTACCACACAGTAGCAAATCATCCGACAACATTACCTGTTATTATTACTGACATTACTGCCCTCTAACAATACTAAAAATATAAATATGTAATAATATTTCCTTAAGAATTCATTTTTCCAGCTCAACTGAAGTATAATTGGCAAGTAAAAATTAAGCATACTTCAGGTATACAACGTGATGTTTTGATATATGTATACACTGTAAAATGATTAGCATGACCAAGTTGATTAAATAATCATCACCTCACATGGGTATGATTGTGTGTGTGTGTGTGTGTGAGTGTGCATGTGTACTGAGAGCCCCGAAGACCAACTGTGTGAGCAAAGTTCAAGTATGTAACACAGTAATCTGTATGAATATAGTCACCGAACAGTAAATTATAGCTCCAGAGTTTATTCATTCTGTGTAACTGAAACTTGGTGTTCTTTGTCCAAAATCTCCTCATTTCCCCCACATCCAAGCCCCTGGTAACCATCATTTGATCTCTCCTTTTATGAGTTCAACTTGTTTAGATTCTATATATAAGTAAAATGAAGCAGTATTTGTGTTTCTATGTCTGGCTAATTTCACTTAGCATAATATCCTCCAAGATCATTCATGTATCACATGAAATGCTAAATAATATTCCATTATATGCATATATTACATATATATATATAATATCCATCCATACATGATTCCAGGTCTCTGAACTCCAGTTGCCCAAAAAACAACACTTTTCATGAATTTGGTAGATGTATTTCCTTGTCAATACTGCTAGATAGTAGCATTCATTTATGTGTCCATCAACTGCTGTCTTGAACTTATCTAAATATTTTCATTGTACACAATTTTCCTGAGTTCTGATTTGCCACAATGTTGTATTTTGAGACTCTGTGAAGTACATATATGTATTTCAAACACTTTGAATGATACCTAATATTACTTGAAAAATAAATTTCATTTGTGAATTCCTTATTATGACACACCTAATAAAATTCTTGTGCTCCTTCTGTCTCACACAGTGAGAACTTCCAAAAGATACATGCATGAAGGAGAAAGGATTTTTTAAAACTGGTAATATGCAACTTCACCATGAGTTCCCTACATATATTTTTCCAATAGAAAAGTCACACAAATTCCACCATATGCTCTTGTTGTCAAGGTATAGAAACAGAAAGATCTGTCTAGCAATGAATCTGTCTTTCCATGACAGGTCTTCATGAAAATTCACACATTGTACAGGGAATAATATTTCCACACCTCAGATTTCCAAAAATGGTTTATGAGATGCACATCTATGCATAGAAACTCTGTGACCTACAGTAGTTGTACAATAAAGGCCACCATGAACCCTCGGCTCATGCCCCTACAGATGAGCTCACCAAATTCCAAGAGAAGGAATGAATGGTTCTGATTGCATTTGCTCATTTACAAGTAAGGCAGGTTTGAAAAGAACATAATCATTCTGCTTTGGTGAGGGGCACAGAGCCCTCAGATGGGAATCAGGAGGCCTGTACCGGAGTCCTACATCTTTCACATACTAAATGTGGAGTGTGGGTAACTCTCTCCAGCTCCCTGTGCTGGTGTCCCTTACCCGGACACCTGGAGGCTGACTCCCAGCTCTGGGACATAGGCAGCACCTACAGAGGTTATCACTTGGTAAAGATTCAGTCATGGTTTTCCAATCACAATTTGAATCGTTATTGGAGAAGTAGGCTTATTGCTAAAACACAATCCCAAGAAAGGTTTAATGGCCTTTTATTCAAGTTACATGGCAGAGAAGTAAAAGTTTATTCTGTCCCAGGGAATTCATTCATGCATTGACCAGAAGCCCTAAAATGTATTTAAGCCCTGAAATAAGATTTATTCCCTTTCTCTCTCACTCTTTTTTGTCACTTTCATTTTTAAGAAAATAGCCACATTTCCTTAATGGAATACTGTTGATTCTATTAAATGGAAATGACAGGGCTCCTAGGACATCTGTGACAGAGATACACGCAGCAGGGTGTTATCTTTCATCTAGTGCTGTGGGACATCCCTGGAGGGAGGGAAGACACACAGTGTGCAGAAGTCACATTGAGGCTCTGTTCCTGGGAACCAGGGATGCATCTACTAAATATTTAATCGAGATTGTTTTTCTCGTAGCCTGCACTGTGCCAAGCAAGGCGCATGCACCACAGAACCAGTAATGAATGAGATTCAGTTGTTTCCCTCCAGTACTCAGAATACACCTGTGTAAGGCTTACAAAACTAAAATGTTTTCTCAGGGATCCAGGGAAAACCAAACCTTCATATGGCAGCACATTTTACTTGATTATATGGCACTGAGTAATAACAATAATAATGTGTAAAATATACTTTGCCCTTACTGCACACACACACCACATCCTTACATCCTCACTACTCCCTATACTTAATTCTCAATCAGTGCAGGTGTGTCACTGAAGATCAATTCAGACGACATCGTTGAGGCTCAGGGACACTAAAAACTTTCCCCGTGTCACAATAAGTCATGAATAGATCAGACAGACTTAAAATTACATGGATCTCTGAGGCCCATGTTCTGACCTTGATCACTCTGTCTCCCTGTACATCAGATTTTAAGCAGAGGCGCAGAGCTCTAAACTTCCCAGGTTTGCCTCTTCACTCTTTCCTAAGAAAATAATCCAACACTCTGGCTCTATGTGTCCCGTAGAGATTGAAAGGGGTTAAACTACCAGAATACAGAAGGAAGTAGACAGCTGAAGCAAAATCAGGGAACAGGGTGAGACAGAGCTTCCCCGAATTATCATGTTCCAACCCTTCCTGTGACCTCCACCCATGGTCTCAGGTAACCTTCCCCAGCAGGTAACATCAGGTACCAGACACAGCTCTCCGATGGGGTCTCACAGGGACCTCGGAGGAAAGTGCTCAGCGAGGAGTGGGTCTCAGCCTACAGAGACTGACAAGGGAAATGCCGGGTCAGGCTGACAGCGGAACATTATCCAAATGTCCTGTGATTGCAGTCTGACTTTTGGATTCAAACCTGACTTCAACCCTTTCTACCCAAGACACACAGTTACATTGCTGTCCTTCACTGCAAAATGATAGTAATACAATGTCTGTCTTTTTGGAGGTGGTTATGCAGATTATATTTAACAAGCTACATTAAAAAAACCAAGCTCAGAGCATAACACTTAGAAACCCTGGTAAAACATTCAGGAGAGTGTGGTCAATATCATCATTTCCACCAACATGATTCCTACTTTCACAAGCATTTTCATGCTTAGGGGACAGTATAGGAAGACATATTTCCTGCTCTGGCTTGTGGAGAAGTCTGCCAGAGCTACAACCAGTGTGCGAGGAAAGCTAAAGCATGCATGAGTTCTTGTACCCCCAACAGAACCAGGGATTTGAAGCTCATTGGCCTCTGAGCTGAAATGTAGCATACTGGCACCCTTCCTTATGGCTGTTCCAAATGCTTGTCCTCATAAAGAAAAAGAAGCTCCTCTAGCCCCTCCTCCATCCAGTGTTTCCCAGTACTCACTGGGCTACTGTGTGTCTCTGCTGGGCATGACCAAGGGCTGATGAGCCAACAATCCCTTCCTGCCTGGAAGGCAATGGAAACGCAGGCCCTGCCCTCAGGACCAGCAGGGAGACCGACCCAGGCATGGACCCGCTCAGGCAGACAACGATTCTGGGAGGAGAAGACATGGCTGTGAGGCCCACTGGACTGGAACCAGCAAACTGACATGCAGGAAGACAACGGCGAATATCTACCATAGTGTGACCTCGGGAACTCAGTGCACAGAGCTCATAACCACCCCGATGGGTCCCTGTTCTCTGAATCTCTAAGGACTTGCTGGTATTAATAGAAGAGAAATGGAGAAAAGTGAGTGTGCTTGGGAGAGTCTGGACCCTTCTCCCAGGAGAAAGCTCACCTGTCCTCTGCTCTTCTGACTTCAAAATTACAGGGAACTTACAACAATCATATTTTTTTCAATTAAAAATATATAATATGTGACTTAATCTGCAATTCCATTGACTTCATCATGAGACTTAAGGAGAATTCACTGTCTTATACTAAGGATCTAATATATTTCCATGTCCTCAGCTGAGATTTACGCCTCCAAGGGGAACTTGTATTTTTCTTTACATAGTCCTGGGTTGCAGTGTTCATATTAGCATCGGAGGTTGATTTTCTTTTTTCTCTTTTGAGTATTTTGGCCTATGGGCTGAAACTGTGCATATTGTAGAACAGCCTAGGTTCTCACTCTTCTTGCAAATTGATGGTTGTTGGTATATTAGACAACTATCTATGCTGACATACTTCTCAGGAATTTGGCAGGTTAAGTACTTAAGGGGGTCTCACAGGTGTCTACAGTCAAAATGTAGGCTAGGGCTGTAGTCACCTCAAGGCTCGACTAGAAGACGATCCAGTCCCAAGCTTGCCCGTGTGACCATGGCAGGTTTCTGCTTTCAAGGGCAGTTGGCCATAGGATTGGCTTAGTTTTTTGTCACAAGGGCTTGAGGCTGGCATGTTCAAAGTCTGAGCCTTTTTATTCATTAAGGTTGGAGTGACACCCCAATATTTTCCTAAATATTATTCATTGGATGCAAGTCAGTAGCTCTGGCCAACAGTCCAATCACTGGGTGCACACATGGGGTTGAACATGGATGGTAGCTCTCATGGGGAGTATCTGAGATGCTCTGCACCAACAATGCCTGATATTAGGGATTTGGGCTCTAAGCACAAGACTCCAGAATGTCTCTCTCCCTCTAACATAGTTCTCACCATTCACATCACCATCTTCTCAACAAACTCTCCTAGAGAAACACTTACTCTGCTGGTACTTCTGCAGCCCCGGCCGTGGGGCTCCTGGCCCTGCCATAGGAAGTCCCCCTGGTTTCTCTTACACAAACACGGCCCTTCCATCTTTGCCAGGAGAAGCCAGAGCCATTTCAGGACCAATTCCATAAGCATCTCTAGAGGCTTCTGGTTTCTACTCAACCAGTAAGGGCTCATCTGTCTCCAAATTTATTTTCTTTAGACCTTCGTGTTTCAATTCTCAAGATATTTTTTTAATGTTATTTTGGTTCATATAGTAAGATAAAGGTAATGTATGGAAATCATGATTTGTCTTATCTATTTTACCATTTCTTTGCAGTCCCCCTCCTCAGATTTGTCTGTATGAGGGGCTCAGAGATTGATTTCTCATTAGCTGATAGGAAGAAAACTTGAATATTCACCCAATATGCTTGCATATAAGTGAAAGCATGTTAATTATGTGCGTGTAAATGGCAAAATAAGTACCACCTGTCCTCCAAGGTGTCACACATGGATTTTGGTATTAGTCTTGGTTCCCTGAAAACCCTTCCTGAGACTAATGTGATTTACCTCAACTTTTCCCTCTGGATTATGTCGCCTTCTGACTACATTGATAAGGAACTCCGCTGTTAGAGAAAGGAATGCACCTGACAGGTGATGAGGTCACAGCCATCAGTGGGAGGATATCAGCCAGTGAAAATGACTGCATTATAAGATTTCTATATTTGCACATCCATTTACACAAACCTGAATGATAGACAAAGAACCCTGGTATGAGGGAAAGTAATGCTGCCTTTTTAACCAGGGATGATTCAGGCAAAATGAAGCTGTTCTTCCTTCCCTTTAGTGTGTCTATTCCTGTTATTCCCTGGTGTTTTGTCCCTATATGTTGTTGACATTTCCTAAGTGACTCCCAAGCTGTGCCAGAGCTGTTGTGCTCATGGATAGCTGTCTAATTGTTGATGTTTGTTGGTGGGATAATGCTGGGGTCTCCTACTTCACCAAGGTTTTGTCAAATTTTCTTGGTAATGACAAATGAATCCCCGGATTCATGACACAGAGTCCTGTGGGGCCAGAGGGCTACAGGGGCGGGATGCGGAAGCTTGCAAAGGACCATCACTACCACACAGCCCGCATTTTCAACTCGAGGAAACTTCAGGGTCTGTGATCCAAAGTAATTTAAAGAAAATATATTCTGGAGCAAATGAACTCTTATCAATGAGCAGAAAATGAAAACCATTGGGGACATTTGCTGAATTTGGGCCAGAACAGCTGCAATTTGATGCAATGTCAGTAGAAGGACGCTGGTGACAGAAGGGAAACCACACTGGCTTCTTCTGGCTGCATGTCCACAAGGAACTTGATATCTGCACAAATACCAAGTCAGAGGCAATTTCTACCCAGCTTCCAGTTATTCTGCAGGAAATGTAAGTGAGAGCACCAGGGTGTGGTGGGTTTGGGTTACCATGGGAAGGAGGGAGACAGCCCCAGCATCTTCTGGTGCCTAGAGCCCAGTGCTCTGAGGGAGGGTGAGGCAGATTCCACCCCTTGCATTCGCACCTTTGTGGAGACCCATCCCCTCAGGTGTGTCCTGGGCCTGCTGACTGGCTTCCAACAAGCACAACATGGCAGAACTGATGGGATGTCATTTCCCAGATTAGGGCACAAAACAGACTGGCTTTCATCTTCCTGGTCCTTGTATCTGTCACCTCTCTGTGTGCTCTGATGGAAACCAGCTGCCATGTGGGAGCTTCCCTGTGACCGACCCATGGGTCCGACACTGAGGAAGGTCCCAGGACAGAGGCACACAGCACCTGTGTCCTCCCAGCACCCACTGGGGAGCCCGGAAACCGGTCCTCGCTCAGGCCGACCTGGAGGGGTCCCCACCCTTGCGGGCCTCCCAACAGCAGTCCTGTTCAACACTCTGGGCTATTCAAGAGGAGTAGGGAGTTATGAGTCATGTATAAAAACCAGTAGTTTTCTAACATGCTAACATACATCAATGAAAGGGAAAAATTAGAACTTGGGCAGCCCTTTAAATAAAAGGAAAAAAACCCTAAGAAAGGGAAGTAGTTTCTCTTAGAGATATACATCTTAAGTCAGAAGATAGAAAGTTTCTGATTTTGTTATGGAAGACCTAATTCCCCCTAGTTTATATGATTAATACAATGGACTTGCAAATATTAAGCTCAGGAAGTCATCAATTAAACTGAAAAAAAGTCTGCATTATGTGAAGATCCTTGAAACTGGAAATCAGAAGGGAAGTGTACAGATGAGTCTTCTCCTGAGAGGAGGTAGGGCCCAGAACCTTCTAAACACATTCACTTTATCCTTTTCTTCTGTTAAGATCAGGATGTCCTCAGCGGTTGGGAGAACAGGGACCAATTTCACTTAATGATGAGCTCTGTGCACTGAGCTCCCAGGGCCAAGGAGGAGAAAACAATTATCCAGTGTCTCCAGCCTTATCTGGGTGCCAGTCTCGGTCACGCCTCATCCGTGTCTCATCATCTGCACACTGGGATTCATGCCTGAGTCTGTCTTCCTGTCAGTCCTGAGGACAGAGCCTCAGCCCCATCACTGACCACGCAGGAGAAGGCACTGCATCCGGGCTCCTAAGTCATGACCCAACTGAGGTACAGCACAGATCAGGGACTGCCCTGACAGGTGGTGGGTGCGGCAGGGTCTTTGGGAGCTGTTTCCTGATCAAGAAGATAAGCAGAGAGAAGTTGAGGTGGCCAGATGGGAGGGCTCCAACGTGCAAAGTTTCAGCTCAGAAGCCGATGAGGTTCCTGCACTTGTCTTTTCTGTTGGGGATTTCAGAACCTCATTCAGAATCCCGCTCTCCTCCACCACCACTTCTCGCTCCCTTGAGCATGGCCCAAGCCAGTGCAGGAAATGGATCTGTGCAAACCAGTTCTGAGCACTCCCAAATGAGCATGCATGTGATGATCATGATAGTCACGAGAAGGGCAACCCCAATATCACCAAACATTATTTAGGGCTTCCTGTATCAGACTTTGGTGATTTTGGACATTCAATCTCACAGCAGAGTCATTTCCTATGTAGGCTGCCTGATTCTGTTATCTTTTTTTAATCTTTTTGGATCTTTGGCCAGTGTAGTCCTGACTGTCATGACCTGCGATTTGTTTGTAGCTATTTCTCACCCCCTGCACCATCTGACCATCATGAACCCCCGCCTCTGTAGCCTTTTGGTCCTGCTGTCTCTTTCTGTCAGCCTTTTGGACTCCCAGCTGCACTGCCTGATGGTGTCACAACTTACCTTCTGCACAAAAGTGGAAATTCCTCAATTCTTCTGTGACCCTCCACAACTCCTCAAGCATATGTGTGATGATATCTCCACCAATAATATATTCATCTGTTTTATTGTTGCCATCTTTGGGGGTGTTCCAATCTCGGGGATCCTTTACCCTTACTACAAAATTGTTTCCTCCATTCTAGTTGGGAGAACAGGGACCAATTTCACTTAATGATGAGCTCTGTGCACTGAGCTCCCAGGGCCAAGGAGGAGAAAACAATTATCCAGTGTCTCCAGCCTTATCTGGGTGCCAGTCTCGGTCACGCCTCATCCGTGTCTCATCATCTGCACACCGGGATTCATGCCTGAGTCTGTCTTCCTGTTAGTCCTGAGGACAGAGCCTCAGCCCCATCACTGACCACGCAGGAGAAGGCACTGCATCCGGGCTCCTAAGTCATGACCCAACTGAGGTACAGCACAGATCAGGGACTGCCCTGACAGGTGGTGGGTGCGGCAGGGTCTTTGGGAGCTGTTTCCTGATCAAGAAGATAAGCAGAGAGAAGTTGAGGTGGCCAGATGGGAGGGCTCCAACGTGCAAAGTTTCAGCTCAGAAGTTGATGAGGTTCCTGCACTTGTCTTTTCTGTTGGGGATTTCAGAACCTCATTCAGAATCCCGCTCTCCTCCACCACCACTTCTCGCTCCCTTGAGCATGGCCCAAGCCAGTGCAGGAAATGGATCTGTGCAAACCAGTTCTGAGCACTCCCAAATGAGCATGCATGTGATGATCATGATAGTCACGAGAAGGGCAACCCCAATATCACCAAACATTATTTAGGGCTTCCTGTATCAGACTTTGGTGATTTTGGACATTCAATCTCACAGCAGAGTCATTTCCTATGTAGGCTGCCTGATTCTGTTCTCTTTTTTTAATCTTTTTGGATCTTTGGCTAGTATAGTCCTGACTGTCATGACCTGCGATTTGTTTGTAGCTATTTGTCACCCCCTGCACCATCTGACCATCATGAACCCCCGCCTCTGTAGCCTTCTGGTCCTGCTGTCTCTTTCTGTCAGCCTTTTGGACTCCCTGAGTCTGAGGCAGCTGCACTGCCTGATGGTGTCACAACTTACCTTCTGCACAAAAGTGGAAATTCCTCAATTCTTCTGTGACCCTCCACAACTCCTCAAGCATATGTGTGATGATATCTCCACCAATAATATATTCATCTGTTTTATTGTTGCCATCTTTGGGGGTGTTCCAATCTCGGGGATCCTTTACTCTTACTACAAAATTGTTTCCTCCATTCTGAAAGTTCCATCAACAAGCGGGAAGTATAAAGCCTTCTCCACCTGTGGCTCTCACCTGTCAGTGGTTTGCTTGGTTTATGGCACAGACCTTGGGGTGTACCTCAGCTCAAGTGTCTCACATGCTCCCAGGAAGGGTGCAGGGGCCTCAGTGTTGTACACTGTGATTGCCCCCATGCTGTACCCCTTCATCTACAGCCTGAGGAACAGGGATGTCAAGAGGGCTGTGCAGAAGCTCCTCAACAGAATAGACTCATTTTAATACTTGGGCCATTTTTTTTTTTAGTTTGTGGATTAGAAGAGATTGTAAAACCAAACATCTGGAATTGGCAAACATGACAGTCCACATAATTCTTGTAGTTTATGGTTTTCATTCCTTTGTTTTATCATATCTGAAAATTGTTTATTTTGGCACATCTTCGATGGGATTAAGGTAGTACTCTGGGAGCCCATGTATGTCAAAATCACTGCACAGTGGAATCCTATTACACCTGTGGAATCTTCTGCATTTGTCACCTAGGACCCAGGCACCCTGTAGAAATTCACAACTCTCCTTTTAAATATGTATACAATGTATCTCAACCATTTTCACTGTCTATGTCTATTGTCCATAAAACTTTGGCTTCAATCAAATCTATTGATGTAGGTTGTGCGTGAGAGACTGTATATTGCTGGTCCTCAGTGTTGGCTTCCTATTGGGTGCATCTGGTGAACTTTAAAGCATCTTCCCGAGTCCCACCACCAAGGATTAAGATTCAGTTGGACAGGAGGGTGGAAAAAGTGTGGAAAAACTTAGCAGCACCCCA